CTTCAAGGCACGAACTCTGAAATCTTGGATTTCAGCATTTTAAAATGTAAGATCTATTCTGTCCACAGTCCTAAAAAGCTTGTTAATAAGGCTTGACTTGACTAATGAGGACCTTGTTATTAATCCAGGACAAAATGCATGTGCTTTGACCCACTTGGGACATGGTAAAATAAGTTAATAAGTTACCATCTCCCTATTTTTACATTCAATGGAAGTGAGTAACTGGATGGCTAGTAGTGGTGTCAGCAGCAAGTGAGGCTGAGGTTTTGCTTAGCTCGGTCTTGCAACTTCTTCAGTTTACCCCTGGGCATAGTTGAAGCTCTCAGTTGGACCATTTGCGTATTTCTGAATGGAAGTCTTGAGACTCAGATATCTTACTTCGAACATCAAGAAGAGTACAATAGGGGAGAGGGGAGAGATTTCTTACCACATCTTCTATCATACAAAGCAGCGAAAGCTAGAAGAAAAAGAGTTAAACAAATAATCCCTAGTGGAAAATAACAGCTCCACCACAGACACTGCTGTGTAACTAGCAATGTGGAGTTTTGTTCTAAATGAGTGATGCAAACTGCTCTGGAGAGGCAGAATGAGAGAATAAATCATCAGTTAAAATACAGAAATGATAAGCCTAAGAGTGGGTATTAGGGGAGGAGGGGAGGTGAAGGAAGAGGGGAAACAGGGAAAGGGTGAGATTCGCACTCCCGCACACACGGAGAGAGGCAGAGGGATGAATGAAGGAAAATGAAGCTTGCACTAACAGAGCAGCAGGAAGAAAGGCATCAAACGGCTGATTTCCCCCCCTGCTTTCAACTCCTGGCTGCCGTTTTCTTAGCACATCAGATTGGTGTGTTACTAGTTTAAAGGATGTGGAGCAAAGGCGAATCGGAAGGGCTCCAGACTTTAGGGATTGTGGTGGTGATTTGTTCCTCTCTGAAACTTTTGCATTACCTTGGACTAATAGACTTGTCAGATGGTAAGAGACTCTACAAGTTTTATCGGCTCCTCAAAACTTGATGCAGTTGTTTGTGTATGTGTGTACATGTGAATATGATATAATTAATATCGTCTAATGTAATGTTATAACGTGCTGAGATTTCAGCCATGCCCTCTCCCTAGGAGTAAAGCTCATTGAAATTCTGAATTTAGATTCATAGTATTGTGGCATGAATTTGTGTGTTTTAGGGGGGGAAATGATCAGTTTTATTTTTATATATCCTTCCAACTGAATTCTGCAGTGCTGGATTTTGTTTTGTGCTTTTGGCAGGCTTCTGATATATAAGTGTCACCCTCTTTCCATTACAATTTACTTTATTACCCAGAGTTCTTGTTCAGTGATGTACAGACTTGGGATGTCTGTACATCACTGAACTTTAGGAATACAGTGTTTGACTGAGAGAAGTATTAGTGATGGCTTAACTGCCTGGATCTAAGCATGTTTTCTTCCCAAGACACGTCTCTTGAAAAAGTACAAAAGGTGATGAGAAAGAGGATGAGGAGAATAAGGAGGAGGATTCTGTATTTGGTACAAAGAACACTTTAACAAATTAGTGTTAGAAATAATACAGAAAACTTTACATTAAATAAATTTTCCGTCCGTTTGTTAAAAATGTTGGATGCTAGTTTGTTGTTTGTTTAAATGGTATTTAGCAGCCATGTTCCATATTCCCAATAAACACATTCCCATGAGGCTTTAAAAACAACAATAGGTATCTATTGACATGTTCATGCTTAAAATTAAAGTAAATTTATCTAGAGAAATCTTTGAACTTTTGTTCCTGAATTTATAAGGTGTCAAGCAAGATTAAATATAAAACAGAAATATAGATGATTTCTTGGTAATCAGTTACTGAGAAATGTGTTCTATCATCTATTATGTGAAAGAGCACCTCTCTCTTATATAAACTGTTATTCTGTCTCTATCTACAGTTTTTAAACATTGCCTTGGACACCAAAGAAATAGCAAGGTTACCCTATATATTTTTCTTTTTTGTAATCTCAATATTATGTAAATTGTTCACAAAGTATTAGCACTGTAAACATGAATGCAGATCATTTGACCCTGATATGAAATTAAATCTAACAGGAAACCTACCAAATGGAAAGGCTAATAATAACGTAGATGCCATGAAGAAAGGGACTCACCTCGGTGGACTGAAGGAAAGCAAAACTGTGGGGGATTCCACAGCAGCTTATGTTTGGAATACCATCCTATGAGTGCAAGTCTTTTGTCCCCCCACCCCTTCTGCTTTATGGTAAATTTATGGTAAATCCATCTGTGAACTTCTATAGTAATCTGGAAGATAAATCAATTGTCAATAACCTGTTCTGATATAAATCAAAGTACTGTAATAACTTCATAGAGGAAGCTATAATATATATAATACAATGCCAAAGTATACTGATGGCATAATTGCATTTTAAAACCACTGAATTGCTGCTATTATAACATCCTGGATCAGATAAATATTTGAAACTATTCAGCTTTGGTTTAGCCAATCTGTTTTAGAGTAGCACCATTCAACTTCATTCAAATCCTGCAATGTATTTACATTCATATTTGCAGTAGCCAGTATACACTAATCCGACATCTCTCTGTGCTAATAGACTGCAGAATCTTGTATTGCTCTGGTTGTTAATTGCAGCTACCTCTTGGTTGTAAAAGTGCCCTCCTAGGATTTGGCAGTATGTTTTGCAACATGCTGTTAAATAGCTTCAGTGTTCTGGTTTTATTTTCTCTCCAGCCTTCTAAAATTTCTAACTGGAATCCAAAGCCATGCCAAAGAGCAAGTACATGAAAAGAATCTCCTAGAATGAATGAATTATATTAGCAATGATGTCACAGAATTAAGCAGATGAAAATTCTAGACTTTCTCTTTTTAGTTTCCTTCAAATGTGTTGGGATGCAAGAATTATAATTCCAAAACTTTTGAAGGTAAAGGTGTCTAGAACGTTTTGTAGGAAATTGGAACAGTGGGCATGATTATCTGTTTGTCTCCAATCCAATGTTTGGGTGAAAGTAAACTGGTCAAAATTATCAGTAATATCACAGCAGACAAATTTATACTGGAGCAAACATAAGGAAGAATATACATGATTTACACAAAGGAAGGCATTGTTTCATTAATGTTCTACAATGTCCTTTTAAAAAAAAAATATGGCATTTTTAGCCTGATCTTATCCTGGGTAGCAAATTATTGACTAAGCAGACTTGGGGGGGGGGGGAGATTAAATACAATGAATAGTTCAGTTAATGATGATTATTCTTAATATTAATTTGGTTAAAAAATATTGTAGGTTATCATCATCCTTAAGAGGTTATCCTGTTTAGAGTTCTAGGTGCCCTGGAACAAGAGCTTAGTAGAACTCTTCACACATTTGGCTGAAAGATATACGATCATAGATTTCCCCACCAAGATAATACGTATCCATGCTTTCCCTTTCCTTAATTTTCTTTACTTTTCTGAAGAAAGTAAAATTTTCAGCTGACATTCTAAGCCAGGGGTAGTCAACCTTGGCTCTTTTATGACTCGTGGACCAACTCCCAGCTGGCTCAGGAATTCTGGGAGTTGAAGTCCACGAGTCATAAAAGAGCCAAGGTTGACTACCCCTGTTCTAAGCAGTCATAACTTTAAGTCATAACTTTAATTGGCAGAGTCACCTGACCCTTTTAAGACTTCCTATAACACCCAGCAGGGAGGAAAAAAAGTGACCCTGCAAGTTCTGCCTCATCACGTTCTCGTGATCTTCCTTGAGTCCAGACTGCAAAAGTAGGAATTCAGGATCAAAGAGGCTGTACAGAGATTCACTTTGCAAACGGGAAGGGTGAAAATAGGGCAACAAAATGGCAAAGTTAATTTGCAGGCTGTGAACAGTAATTTCTTCAATTCCTGAAGAAGTCTCTCATCCCTAGTTCTTTTCCTATAGGTAGAACTCTTATTTTTACTCTGTAAATTCACTAGTACCTATTAAATAACCACGTTTTTTTTAAATGTATGTTTAGGCATCATACACCTGTTGATATATGTATTGTAGGGTGTAGAAATTACTATTTTATTTTGAGGTGGGCCTCATTTTTTTCTTGTGTAAGAACTCAGCCATGTGAACTTTGTACTAAAGTACATGCAACCCTTTTTTTTAAAGCAATATATATATATATATATATATATATATATATATATATATATATATATATATATATGAATTTAAAATGCTAACAGACTGCTAAGTGAGTCACAGTCACGATTCAGGGGCAGTACTATTCGTTTCATGTAGTCCTGCCTGGTATCTTGTGAACTCTTATATTAGGAGAATACTAGCACAGCTAGTATCAGTGTATTAGTGACCCTTTTCCAACATAGCAGCCATGAGCATGGTTGAGTATATTCTGTGCTTCCTCATCTTGATAATCCCATTTTATTCTGAGCTTTCTATCTTATTTCCTTGGAGGATTGTTTGGGAAAGACTTAATCCTACAGGATTGAAAGGTTCAGTGACAAGCGATACAGGTTGGATTCACAAATGATCCAGTGCAATACTGGGTTAAAACTGATCTTCTTTCATCACAATATGACTAGATTTGTTAATTCACAGACCTTATTGGATCCTTAACCAATGTAATTAATCATGTTGTGTAAATTGAATGGGTCAGCCCACAGAAATTTTAAATTGTAATTTAAAAAAGAAAAAAAAAAACAGAACAAGGTCTGTTGTTGTTGTTAATTGCGAAGTCGTGTCTGACCCATTGCAACCCCATGGACAATGTTCATCCAGGTCTTCCTGTCCTCTACCATCTTCTGGAGTCCATTTAAGCTCACGCCTACTGCTACAGTGATTCCATCCAACCACTTCATTCTCTGTCATCCCCTTCTTCTATTGCCCTCAATCTTTCCAAGCATTAGGCCCTTCTCTAGTGAGTCCTTCCTTCTCATTAGGTCTCCAAAGTATTTGAGTTTCAACTTCAGGATCTGGCCTTCTAAAGAGCAGTTGGGGTTGATCTCTTCTAGGACTGACCAGTTTGAATGCCTTGCAATCCAAGGGACTCGCAGGAGTCTTCTCCAGCACCATAGTTCAAAGACCCCAATTCTTTGTCACTCAGCCTTTCTTATGGTCAGAACAAGCTCTATATAGTGGTAAAACATGCATGCACACACATAGATACATATATAGATATGAAATAAATTAATCATGTAGACTGAAAAGCTACATCATGTTTGATGCTATAGCTGTTCTTATTGCCTCACAGGAATATGATAGATGTGCCAGAGTTTTATCATATATTCAAGAATTGCAAGCTAGGAAAATTTACATTCCGTAGTAGATAACTGCAAACTGCGGTGAAAATCACTAGTTTAAAATGAAGTTCCAAACTCTCTAAATTGCCTTATCATGAATATGAAAACAGAGAGGGGGAAATCAATAATAAGAGCACTGAAGATGGTTTCCCCTTGTTGTTTAAATCATTTCCTGTTAAATCAGTTGAATCACCCGTGTTTTGATGATCATGATAATATAATAGAGTAGGCTGCAGCCATGAATGCATTCATCTGAGAATATGCCTCACTGAATTTTATGAGACTTATTTCTGACAAGATGCAGATATGTGTTTTTTTAATCTAATTGATCATTGCCTGGTGTTTCTAAAATGATTAGATAAAAATACTTTATCCAACTACACTTCCTAAGATTTACATAATAGTATGTATTGCTAAGTACATCTGAAAATTTATGTAGCGAGGACATATGGAATATTTCATCCCTAAATTGTTGTACCTCAAAATGGTCAGTTTGAACATTCTAGCTTCAAAACAAAGCCTAACCTTTTGAGTGGCATTGCTTTGCATGTTATCATTTCTAAAACTGTCACTGAGGCTTAAAGCTCTTCCATGCAAATAATTGCTTTCTTATATTCTTAAGAATAAAGACATTGAACACGAGAGCAAATGATCCTATTAAGCCCAACCATCAAGAGGCACCTAGTAGCATTATTTCTGACTAACACATTTCATTAAAAGTGCTGTGAGCCACAGTTCATGAAAGCTTTTAATATAAGGTTTTCTCAGACTCACCTAAGATTTTTGGCTACCCTAGATTAATATGGCTCTCCTTCTATAATGTCTTTAGGAAGAAGAAGGAAGATTTTGCTACGGCCTTTCGACGTAATTAATATTCACTGATATATTGAGAGAATTTTAGCAGGCAAAGCAGCAAGAAAGTTTTCATTTACTTACCTCTGCTGGATCAGTTTAATGAGTTTGGTTCTTATTCTCTTCCCTTGCCTGAGCCATTGTCAAACAGCTGGGTAATTTTTTATTTCTCTTAAATATTATATATACCCTCGAGAGGTGTTAATATTGATAAAATGGCACAATAAGACATAGAGTCTTCACTGAGAAACTTTGTTTACTTTTCTGGAAAGTACATGCTGCAGAGAGCTACCTTTATATATATACAGTGCTTTTTTTATAAAAAAAAAAAAAAAAAAAAGAGGTGCCAGAACTCACAAACGTCATACAACCTGCCTTGCCTACCCTATAAGGTTCCATTCAAAAAAGGTGCCAGAACTCTGTTCTGAGCGTTCTATGAGAAAAAAAGCCCTGTGTGTATGTATGTATGTATGTATGTATGTGTATATATATATATATATATATATATATATATATATATATATATATAAATAACTTTAAAAATGCAAATCCCAGGCATATTTGTGTAATGGGAACTCTGGGATAAGTGTGAAACAGCTGTTTATTGTTAAAAAAAAAACAATAACAGCAACTATTTACAAGGTTTTGTGTGTGTGTGTGTGTGTGTGTGTGTGTATATATATATATATATATATATATATATATATATATATATATATAGGTCTTTGGTTGTTCGGGTTTTCTCCCGCGTAAAAATGGAGAAAACCTCAGAAAACAAATATATATATATATATATATATATATATATATATATATATATATATATATATATATATATATGTCTTTAATAATTTTGAATATAGGAATCCCAGGTATGGACATTTAAAGTCAATCAGATAAAAATAAAGAGCTCTGGGACGTAAGATAAAAGGCTTTTTTTATTAACTGCTGAGCTTTCGTTAACAACCTGTTAACATCATCAGAGCAAAGGGCTAAATGAAAAGGGGGAGCATGTGCATAAATTTACATAACAGTTAAAAAAAAATTTTTTTTTAAATATGTGACTTGTAAAGATATGAAGTTTCTAATCCAATGCCTGGGACTTAGGAACAAGAAAAAGCTGCAATATTTTAGGATTTGGGTCAGAACATATTTTCCATTTTAGGCCAGACTACTTATTCCATATAAGTAGTCAATACTGACTACTCAGATAGCAATCATTTCCATGAATACAATGGCACTGAACCTGGGGCCTTCTGAATGCAATTATTGATTTGCAAATTTTGCTGATCTAAATTCATTTGTGTCAGTTGACTCATTTGAATAATCATTTGCTGAGGAAGCTGCAATTTTTGATGTGTATAGTTTTATAAGATGAACCATCTTGTGCTTCATGTACCAAAAGGTTTTCAATGCAAGTCTATTTGTTTTGTATTGAAATATACAAAAATAAAAATAATGCAACTGAGTATCTTTGAACATCATCTCCTGAGTCCTTTCTCTAGCCACTTAGGGTTTTTCAGAACTTTCCTTTTGGACTCCTTCCTATAATATAACCTCAGTTGTCTTGCTCAGAGGAAACAAAGGTATGTCAACTGGTATACTGAATGTTCGGCATATCTGTATAATATTATTGGGTTGCCTCTGAACAAAACTAGATCTTCGTTCAGAATATTTATAGGAATGAACTTGAATGAATGGATGTTACATGAATCCAGGCTTGTAAAATTATTTGTATATGTTCTAATTTAGTTCATATTCAAAATAGTAGTAGTAGTAGTAGTAATGTTGGAAGGGACCTTGGAGGTCATCTAGTCCAAACCCCTGCTCAGACAAATGTATCTTCTTAAAAATGTTAAAAGTGGAGCATTCACCACTTCTGGAGGCAGGTTGTTCCACTGGTTAATTGTTCTGTCAGGAAATTTCTCCTTAGTTCTAGGTTGCTTCTCTCTTTGGTTAGTTTCCATCCATTGCTTCTTGTCCTGCCCTCAGGTGCTTTGGAGAATAGCTTGATTCCCTCTTCTTTGTGGCAGTGCCTGAGATATTGGAACACTGCTATCATGTCCCCCCTCTTCATTAAACTAGACATACCCAATTCCAGCAGCTGTTCCTTATATGTTTTAGCCTCCAGTTCCCTAATCATCTTTGCTGCTCTTCTCTGTACTCTTTCTAGAGTCTCAACATCTTTTTTTCATCATGGTGACCAAAACTGGATGCAGTATATACTGGATCATATATTGTTGCTTAAGTTTTCATTTTTATTAGAATTTCATTTTTATTTTTATTTCATTTGGAATACTGACAATCTGAGTATGGTTAGAATCATGAGAAATGGGGTAATAGCATCAGGTAGAAATTTTTTTTATTATTTCTGTCCATTAAAAGAAATATTTCTTTAACAACAGAGAAAGTGTAAAGCAGAACTAAGTGAACTTAGTTTAAATGGTGGGTTATTGATTCTTTAAATAAAATTCTTCCACAAAATTGTTTGTTCAAGCAATATTGTTTAGCATCTTTTACTTTTTAATGCTTTTAAAGTTTTTAACACTTAAATTGTGTTATATTCTGCTTTTATGAACCACCCAGAGGTGCTTGCCAGTGAGAGGGGCAGCATATACATAATCAGAATAGAGCTGGAAGGGACCTTGGAGGTCTTCTAGTCCAGCCCCCCCGCTCAAGCAGGAGTCCCTATATCATTTCAGACCAGTGGCTGTCCAGTGTCTTCTTAAAAACCTCCAGTGATGAAGCACCCACAATGTTTGAACATTTAATAGATAATCATACATCAATAACAATAAATCTTATTCCACTGCTGTTTTTAAATCCTTTAAGAAAAGACCATTTTCAGTCATCTTTTATCAATTAAGCTTTTACTGAAATTGCTAGCATTTTCATACCATGCTCAGCACAATTCCTGAAATGAACAGAAAGATAATAATCCAATGGTGCATGACAGAAAGCTATGTTTTTGAGCAATCTAGATGGATTCCATCTTGTCATTTGTCCCACTAGGCAGTTGACTAGAAAGTGTTGTGAGCTTTTTATAGGAAAAAAATTATAATGTGCAATTAGTTCCAGGGAAAAATTGATATGCTTCTGTCAACACATGGGCACTCACTGCTTGCCAATCAGCTTTATATTTACATTTTACATGCTTTATTTTCCCTGGTGCACTATTAATTACTATCTGGCTTTTTGATGGCATGTACTGACTCTTCTTCCTGTATTAGCTACAGAGGATATTGTTGCAATTCAACTGCAGAATATCAAGCTCAGATGCAATCCCATTATTCTTAAGATTTTTAAATATTCTTAACTAATTTAAAAATCACATTTTGGTATTAACTGTACAGGCTTTTTGCACATCTTTGTATACAATACAAAGAGTTTGCTTATGTCTGAAATATTGTGCTCTTATATGAGGTTATGAAAAGGCTAGCTGCTGATTTTGGAAACATTAATACTGTTTGGAAACAAATATATCAAATATATCAAAGGTGGTAGCTTTTAAAGGACTCAGTTCAACTGCCTTTGGAGACAAAACATGTAAGTGCAGATACAATATAAGAGATTTAATTTTGCAATTATCTTCTGCTTGGTTACTATTCTGGTAAATTTATGAAACCAGGTAAACTGTTGCATTCTTCTCCATTCTCCTATTTAACTAGCTGCATTACTGTAACACAGTCATTGCATGGATATTATATATGGGCATTGTAATTTTGAGCAATCACACCATGAGCAGCGTTTCCCAACTTGATGTCTTCCAAATATGTTGGATTCCAGGATCCATAATCTCAGCGAACCAGCATACTTGCCAAAATAAAACATTGATCTTTCACTAATTTCATTTTTTTAGGAAAGCTTATAGGAAGTAAGTGAAGTTCAAAGGAAGTTGAGGCTGAACTTTATTTTGCTGCATTGTTTTAAACACAAAAAATTGACTCAAGTGGGGAATCTGATGTGCATGAAAGGGAGTGTTCATAGCCACCAGCTTGCCCTTCCCAGAACAGAGTCTTAAGCCTTAGCACTACTTCTTAGTTTTACAAAAGATTCTACTGTAGCACATCATCAGACATCATTTAAAGTTGAGAATTGGAAGTCATTTCTCCTAGATCTACATAGGAACTTGACAAAGCATGAAAAAGCAACTTTCCTAATCCAAATGAAACCTTTAACTTCAGTAGGGCAGATCCCCAAGAGTTTCATAAATCACCTGCTTTTCTGCTTGTCTACCATGTGACAGATTGTAACATTTATCAGTTGGACTCTATCTGTTGAAAAATTATTCAGTCCTTGTACTGACAGATTTTTTTTAATCTTATGCTAGTGTCCATGAATTGCTATTCCTCATTTATAGAAAGGAAAGAGGAGGGAAGCGAGGGAGGGAGGGGGGCATCATGATAGTATTAGGTAGAAATCTCCATTATAAATTATATTTTTATAGATTTCATTATATTTTCACTAGTTATTTAGTGTAGTTTCAATAAGCCAATTAGCTGATGTAACTTAATTGGTTTTGCATTCAATAAAAAAGCCCTGCATTTGGTAGTAGGATTGAATTCTCATTATAATAAGAGTTTATTGGCTAACTTGGGCCTCTTGAAAATATGACAAGAGTCTTTGTCAGCATCCCCCCTTGGTTCTGCCTCATTACTTTTTCCTCTTGCTGAAGAAAATGTAAATCAGAACTCTTATTAATGGGAAGGCTCAATTGGAGGTGGCATAGCCTTTGACAGAAACATTTTAGAGTTCTTATGAGACCCATATCCTAGCTGGGGATTGATTGGGCAAAAAAGGCTATACAGTATTCATCACAGATGAGACAAGATGCAAGTAGCCAGCCATATTCTCTCTTTTTTTTTCTTATTTTCTTTGGGGTTTTTTCACAAAATCTTATTGACTCAAAGACTGAGCTGCCAGTAACAGAAATCTCCTTCCATCTGTTTCACTTTCATAGCCCATAAGAGAGAGAGTTGTTGCTTAAAACTCCACGAAAAAAAAACAAAGGGTAGAAATTCTTCCTAAACAATCTGGATTCCATGTGAACCCTATGCAAATCACATCAAGAACCTCTTGACTCCATAAAATGGAGTATCCTAAAACAATCCTAAACAATCTCTCCCTCCCTCCCTCCCTCCCTCCCTCTCTCTCT